AGAGGGTCCCTACTCCTCTCAGTGGCAGGCAGCTATGGACATAGAGATGGCTTCCTGGAAGTCCACAGGCACCTACGCTGACGAGGTTCCCCCGCCTGGGGCGAACATCGTCACTGGCATGTGGATTTTCAGGGTGAAGCGGCCGCAAGGTTCTCCGCCTGTCTTCAAGGCGCGTTACGTGCCTCGTGGCTTCAGTCAGCGGCAGGGAGTTGACTACTTTCAGACCTTCTCTCCCACCCCGAAGATGACCACTCTTCGGGTACTGCTGCACATAGCTGCTCACCGCGACTACGAGCTGCACTCTCTTGAATTCAGCACTACTTTCTTGCAGGGCAGCCTGCACGAGGAGATCTGGCTGCGTCGCCCACTTGGCTTTACTGGGTCTTTTCCCCCTAGCACCCAATGGAGCCTCCCGCGGCCAGTCTACGGTCTCCGCCAGGCGCCCCGTGAGGCACGACACACTGAGGACTACACTTTCGGCTCTTGGGTTTGCTCCTTCTACTGCCGACCCGTCGCTGTTTCTGCGCACCGACACCTCTTTGCCGCTGTTCTACATCCTCGTGTACGTCAACGACTTGGTCTTTGCAACTGCTGACACTGCTCGACTCGCCCACGTGAAGTCCGAGCTGCATAAGAGACACACGTGCACAGACCTGGGTGAACTGCGCAGCTACCTTGGCTTGCAGATCACCCGGGATAGAGCACGCCGCACCATTACCCTGACTCAAGCACACATGGTGCAGCAGGTCCTTCAACGCTTCGGCTTCATGTACTCCTTGCCTCAGGCCACTCCTCTGCCTACTCACCACTCGCTCTTAGCTCTGCCTTCGGATGAGTCCGTAGAGTTGAGTGGCCCGTACCCAGAGCTTGTTGGCTGCCTCATGTACCTGATGACCTGCACACGACCTGACCTTTTATACCCTCTTAGCATTCTTGCACGCTATGTTGCTCCTGGGAGACATCAACCGGAGCACATGGCTGCAGCGAAGAGGGTGTTGCGCTACTTGTGCAGTACGTCGGGCATGGGGTTTGTGCTTGGAGGGCAGAGTCCAGTGGTCCTCACTGGGCACGCAGACGCTTCTTGGGCTAACGACCAGGCTACGCAGCGGTCGTCACAGGGTTACACCTTCAGCCTTGGTTCCGGCTCTGTTTCGTGGCGGGCTACCCGCTCCTCTTCTGTTCTCGGCTCCAGCTGTGAGGCTGAGATCTACGCTGGGGCCATGGCTGCACAGGAGCTTCGCTGGCTCACCTACCTGCTGACTGACCTTGGAGAGCCGCCTCGTTCTCCTCTAGTGCTGTATGTAGACAACAAGGCCATGCTGGCCTTGTGTCGAGAGCAGAGACTGGAGCACAGAACGAAGCACATTGCTCTTTGCTACTTCCTTGCCCGTGAGCTACAGCAGCGTGGTCATCTGCGACTTGCGTACATGGCCTCTGAGGCCAACACTGCTGATATCTTCACCAAGGCACTTGCGCCTTGTGATCATTAGCGCTTCTGTACTCAGCTGGGTCTTGTGCCTACCTTGCCTCACTCCTTGACCTTGTTTGTACTGTTGCATATATATATACACCTGCTCTTGCTTGTCTAGCCTTATATATATATATGTAATCCTGCATGTGAACTGGCCTTGTGGCCTTGAACTTGTGCTCGAAATGTGTGGTGACTTTGTGATCCACCCTGAGCTTGCTTTGCTTTACTTTGCTTGACTGGTCTTGTGACCCCTTGTTCTCCCCACTTTGCCTATGGGGGTGTGTCAGAACATTATAGCTTATACATTAGTGTAGGCTATGTGGGGTAGCCCATAAGGGGTACAACCCAATTAGGGTTAGTACTTGTACCCAACTCTTTCATAGTCCATTCATTCTCGTTCTCTTTTCTCACTTCCTTGCTCGTGAGCTGCAGCATCGTGGTCAGCTGCGCCTTGCTTATGTGGCCTCTGAGGCCAACACTGCTGATATCTTTACCAAGGCACTTCCGCCTGCTGATATCATCAGCGTTTCTGTACGTTGCTAGGTCTTGTGCCTACTTGGCCTCACTTGCTCACTTCTTGACCTTGCTTGTACTGTGATCTTTCTATACCTTCACTTGCTTGTTTACCTTTATGTATGATCTTGCATGTGAACTGGCCTTTTGGCCTTGCTCTTGTGCTCGGATTGTGTGGTGACGTTGTGATCCACCCTGAGCTTGCTTTGCTTTGCTTAATTGGTCTTGTGACCTCTTGTTCTCCCCCACTTTGCCTATGGGGGTGTGTCAAACTCATATGCTATAGCCTGTGTAGGCTGTAATGGGGTAGACAACATGGGGTACAACACTTCTAGGTTTTCCTACTTGTACCACCTGCTTGCTAGTTCATTTATTCCTCATTTCTTCACACGGCGAACCGCGTTGCTGCCAGCACGACTGTTTCTCGAATAGCATCGCACTGTTGCCAGGGCGCGATAGATACAGCGCGGAAGCTGCAACAGCGTGGCAGATTATCGGACCAATAGTACACAAAATTCATGTCGAAGAGCGAACCACTAACTATTCCCGTTTGTTTCAAGGCCCAATTTTGAAAGTAGAAAACGAAACAAACAGATTGTCACGAATGATAACAAACACAGGCAATATCTGACCACGAGCACCAACAAGCCCACGTGTCGTGAATTTGATGAATATATTGCCCAATTGTTTCAGTTAAAAATACATTATGAGAGAATTCAAACAATTGACAACTGATTTCGAAGATCATGTTTGATATATTTTTATTAGTACAAAAGGTTGAGCATAAAACGGTATAAATACCCACCTCTAGGTTTGCACAAACACTTCCTGTATTGATATTGTACAGCTTTGTTTCCATTCAAATTAATGTTGGGGTATATTTGGTATGTTGTTAACACCCTCATACATTCGCAGGCACAACGAGACAGGCTCCATTATATTTAAACTATTTTCCTATTTGTTACGATATGAAACCAAATGAGAAGGCATTCCTGTATGCTGCAGGAGCCGACTCTACCGAGCACAAAGTCGAGGAGTCAGAAGAGTCGAAGCGACGCAGCAACCGTCTGACCAAGACCGATGCAGGTAGAAACATTTAAAGTGAAAAGAGCGGGAACAGGTTTGAAACGGGTTCCCGCGCCGCACGGTTTGAATTTCGATGCAATAAGGGAATGTACTTCTAAGAGTACATGGCTGGTCTAGGTCTTTTCGTATTCCTATGTATTCTTATATAAACCCGATGTATGCATGCTATCATCATCTCAGTCGTTTACATTAACTCTGACATGAGTTCACTACTTCCGCTGCAACACCACTCTGCGATCAACCCCGAGCGATCCTTCACTAACTCCCACTTGGGATTATAACACCCTTGATCATTCGTTTGGTACCACTCGTAGCATCTGGTACAGAGATATGGTATTTGTCAGAACTATGCTCTAGGCTGTAGTAGGGCACTCCTTAAGGGGTACAGCCCAATTAGGTTTTGCACATACACACCTTGTACTGCTGTGACTCTAGTCATTCTTCGTTCCTAATCCTGACAGTATTCAAACAATTGGGCGTGTAAAACAATGCAATAATAGGCATGTGCGACACGTGGTGTCGTCTCAACATCCGTTTGACCTTTTTAACAATGTTTTTCTTGATGAAACATTCACTCACTATAACATAAGGATGCTGGATCAATTTGGTGCCATTCGCAACAACTGGTAGGAAGTTATGGTGTTCCAAACAACTGAGTAGCCAAAACTATGGAATAATAGGCCTCTGCGATACATGGTGCCGTCTCGACATCGGTCTGTCATTTTTAACAAGGTTTCTCTATCAAACATTATACATGTGTTATTGCTGTGTAGGCTACAGTGGGTTAGCCTTAAAGGGTTACACAACTCTAGGGTTTCATACTTGTACTCCAATGTTTCCTAGTCCGATCACTTGTTTCTGACATGGTATTAAGAGCTTAGGTTCTAGACCTAAGGGCCCACCATTCCGCTAGAGGTGCCCTCGTGTGCCCCTTTTTTTTAGCGCCCTCGTGTGCCTCTCCCCTAGTGCGCCCTTGTGCGCTCTCCTCTCACGCTGCTCGTGTGCAGCCCGCTAGCAGCCCGAGCGCGGCCCCGCCGTTTTAGCGCGCGCGTAGGAAATCCGCCGCCTAGGGCGGCCCGATTTTTTTTTTCTCGCGAGCCCCAACAGGCCGTCGCCCGTAGGCCCCGCTCGCCCCTAGGCCGACGCGCGACCCACAGCCGCCCGCACGCAGGTCGCAGCCAGCGCGCCGCAGCGATCGCGCGTCGGCTGCTGCAGCCCGCGCTTAGCCACGGCTAGAACGCAGCCGCGGCCTGCTTGCAGCCGCACCCTAGGCGCCACAGCGCACCGAGCTTAGGCCCGCTTTCGCGCTGCCATACCCACCCTAGCCGCGCCGCCCGAGTCGCGCCGCGCTGACCGAGCCGCGCCGCCCTACCTGCAGCAACTGCTCTTCCTGCTCCTACTGCTACTACTACTACTGCTACTGCTACTCTTGCTACTGCCACTATGGCCAGTCCCACTGTTCTCACCTTTGACACCGAGGGCCGCCCGATTAAGCTCGATGTCTGGCTTGATGACCTTCACCTGTACCTCCAGATCACTGCCAAGGACGATGTTTCCCTCTATGACCATACGTACGGCTCTGCTCCCGCACCTCCCACTACTGCTGACAGTATTGCTCGCTCCCAGTGGCAGACCCGTGATGCTCACGCCCGCCTAGCCGTTCGCAGCCACCTGTTGTTAGATGAGCGCGAGCACTTCGGCCAGCATAAGACCGCTAAGGAGCTGTACGACGCAGTAGTCACGCGCTACTCCTCCCCTGCCACTGCTACTATAGGCCGTCTCTCACTGCCCTACCTCTTCCCCGACCTGTCCGCCTTTGCCACTGTAGCTGACCTCATCACCCACCTTCGTACCAGTGACCTCCGCTACCGTGCCGCGCCCCCCCCCCCCCCCCCCCCCCCCCCGATTTCCTCGACAAGAACCCCCCCCGATGTACCTCACACTGTACCACCTTGTCACCCGCCTCCCTGACTCCCTTCGCACTGTCAGGGACCAGTTTCTTGCCCTCTCCCCCACTGACCTCACTGTCGACCTCCTCGAGAAGGAACTCCTAGCAAGTGAGAAGAGCATTGTAGCTGTAGGTGCCTCTCGTGGTGACCCCCGCACCCCCTTCTTTGAGGGGTGCTCCCCCTCCCCCCTCCTCCCCTCCATTGCATCTGCTGCTGCTGTCGACTACCTCGGAGCTGAGGGGGTCGGGGCCGCGTCTGCTCCTAGTGAGAGGCGCAAGGGCGGTAGGGGCAAGGGGGGCAGGGGTGGTGGAGGTGGAGGCGGGGGTGGCAGCGGTGGAGGGGGTGGGGGGGGCGGGGGTGGTGGCGGAAGTGGGAGTGGCGCGGGTGGTGGGGGGGTCAGTGGCGGCATAGGGAGTGGTGGCGGCGGCGGCGGTGGTGGGGGTGGTGGGGGCGGTGGTGGCAGTGGTGGCGGCGGTGGAGCGGGTGGCGGGCGCGGTGGAGCGGTGCAGCGTGGGGGGTTCGGCGGTGGCCAGAGGCAGCAGCAGCAGCATCCCGGTGAGACTCCCTCGCCTCAGCAGCTCCGTGAGTGGTACTCTTAGCGTGGGGGGTCTGGGGGTGGAGGTACCTGCCCGTACGTCATCCGCACATGTGACCGCACTGGCCAGACTTGTGGGAAGTTTCATACAGCGCAGCGCTGTTTCTTTCGCCTTGACGATGCCTGGCGCGAGCAGTTCCCTGACGCCTCTGAGCTGCCCCGCTGGGCTGATCTGCTTAGGAAGGGGATTGATATCTTTGCTCTTGATTATGATGCTATCCTTGCTGCTATATATGCATTGACTATTAGTGCTGAGGGTGACTGTTACCTCAGTGTACCGCCCGACCCGAGTATTGGGACCTGTGAGGCTGCAGCTCTAGGTCCTGGTGAGGCTGCTGCCCTAGGTGCTAGTGCGTCTACGTCTGCTGGTACCACACCTAATGAGGCATTGCACACCTTCACACTGGACTCAGGTGCTTCCCGCTGTTTCTTCCGCGACCGCACTGCCCTAGAGCAGCTCCCTAGACCGGTTGCTGTCTCCCTGGCCGACCCCTCAGGGGGACCGGTCCTTGCGACCTCCACCATTGCCCTCCCTTGTCCCGCTGTCCCGTATGGCACGCTGTCGGGCCTCTACCTCCCCTCGTTCTCTACGAACTTGGTGGCGGGTTCCGCGCTCCAAGACGCGGGTGTTCACCCGTTCACCCCGGCCTACGAGCGTGTGACGCACTGCACGTGCACCCGGACGGGTCGTCACCTGGCTACCTTCACTCGGCAGCCGGGGTCGGACTTGTACACACTGACCACTGAGTCCCCTCAGGTAGCTGCGTCTACGTCTGCGTCAGGTCAGCTCTCGGCCCCCTGCTCGTGTCGCTCCCTGTCACACAGGACTGTTCTCTGACACCACCGCCTTGGTTACCCGACAGTGCACCGCCTTCGCGGCATGCACTCCAGGTACCTTGTCTCTGGTCTTCCCATGGTTCTCCCTCCCCTCCCACCCTCACCTGCTTCTCCCTGTCTTCCCTGTGTCGAGGGGCGGCAGCGCGCCGCTCCTCACTCTTCCTCGTTCCCTCCCACAGAGGCTCCCCTGCAGACTCTCCACCTGGACGTGTGGGGCCCCGCCCGCGTCCGGGGACAGGGCCACGAGCAGTACATTCTGCTGGTCGTCGACGACTACACGCGCTACACCACGGTCTTCCCCTTGCGTACCAAGGGTGAGGTCCCTGATGTCTTGATCCCCTGGATCCGCGCTGCTCGTCTCCAGCTCCGCGAGCGGTTCCAATTGGACTTTCCTGTCCTACGTCTGCACTCTGACAGATGTGGCGAGTTTTCCTCTGACCTCTTGGCAGCCTACTGTGCGGAGCACGGCATCCGCCAGACGTTCACTCTCCCGGCTCTCTGCAGCAGAATGGGGTTGCTGAGCGCCGCATTGGTCTTGTCATGGAGGTCGCTCGTACCTCCATGATCCATGCGGCTGCCCCCCATTTCCTGTGGCCGTTTGCAGTGCAGTACGCCACGTATCAGCTCAGCCTCTGGCCCCGTGTCTCTGTTCCGGAGACCTCGCCTACCCTGCGTTGGACGGGGGAGGTTGGCGATGCGTCGATGTTCCGAGTCTAGGGATGTCGAACCTTTGTCCGCGATACGTCCGCGGACAAGTTCTCCTCCCGTGCTGTTCCCTGTATCTTCCTTGGCTTTGTCCCTGACGCGCCTGGCTGGCAGTTTTACCACCCCACCTCGCGTCGTGTCTTTGCCTCTCAGGACGTCACCTTTGATGAGTCGGTACCCTTTTACCGTCTCTTCCCCTACCGCACTGCCCCGCTCCCCCCCCCCCGCCACTCTTCCTCACCCCAGATGTCCCGTCGGTAGACCCCCTCCCTCCCCAGGGTGCTGCTCCCTCAAGTGTTTCCTAGGTAGACCCGGTCGAGCCTGTGGAGGTAGCTGTTGACTCTGGTCCTGCGCGAGGTGCTAAGCGTGCTGAGCCTGGTGGTGCTGGATCTGGGGGTACTGAGACTAGGGGTGCTGAGCCTAGGGGTGTGGAGACTGCGGGAGCTAAGCGTGGGGGTGCTGAGACTGGGGGTGCTGAGCCTGGGGGTGCTGAGCCTGGGGGTGCTGAGACTGGGGGTGCTGAGACTGGGGGTGTTGAGACTGGTGGCGCTCCCTCTTTACACCAGCTGCGTGAGTGGTACTCCCAGCGCTACAACCTCCATCGTGGGGCTACTGGAGCTGGGGGGTCTGCTGGAGTCGGGGCTGGTGGCCGCGCAGGTGCAGTGTCGCAGCCAAAGCCTCCCTCCCCTAAGCGGCTACGTGAGTGGTACGCTCGGCGCTGCAGCCTCCGGAGTGGAGCTCCTGGTGTTGAGGTACCGCCAGCTAGAGGCCCTGCTGCTACTGGAGGTCCTGGTGCTGCTGGAGGTACTGCTAGTGCTGGTGCTGCTGGAGGTGCTACTGGTGCTGGTGCTGCTGGAGGTGCTGCTGGTGGTGCTAGAGGTCCTGGAGCGGCTGGAGGTGCTTCTGGAGCTGCTGGAGGTGCTGCCGGTGCAGCTGGAGGTTCTGGAGCTGCCGGAGGTGGTGCTGGTGCTGGTTCGGCTGAAGGTTCTGGTGCTGTCTCTACTCCTTCTGGGGGCACTTCATGGCCGCGGCCGTACTTCTTTCCGCTCCTTCAGCAGGTTCTTGGTCAGCCAACTCCTCCTCGTCCTCCTCCCTCCTTAGAGTGTCCTCCGCATGTCCAGTCGCAGTCACAGCTACCGCCTGCCTCGCCACTTCCTGGTCCTTCTCCCTATACTGGTCCGATAGGCGGTCTTACAAAGAGTCGTGAACCTGAGTCTCGTCCTGTGTCGCCTGTGCCTCGTCCTGTTTCACCTGTTTGTGCTGCTCGCACTAGTCGCCGTGGTCCGCGTGAGCGTCCTCCACCTGTCCCTGGCACACACTAAATGAATCTGCGTCCTTCCACTGCTCCACAGCATGTCCCTCTGCCGTCTCCTCCTGCGTCCTCTCTTCCTGTCCTTGCTGACCTGGAGTCTGACTCTCTTCGTGCTGCCAGTCCTACTATCACGCGTCTCCTGGCCACTGCTGTCACTGATCCTTCCTTAGAGTCTGCTACTGCGTCTGCCCTAGTTCCTGAGCTTGTCGACTTTGCTGCTGGCTGTTGTCTAGACTACGCTGCGAGTCTTGTTGCTCAGTCTGAGTCTGTTTGTCCTCCGTCCGTCGGGGGTGAGTGTGCTCTAGGTACGGACGTCCTTAAGGACACGCACGAGGACCTTGAGTGTCTTGCAGTCGCTGCGCCTCATCTCGTTTCCATGCTGATTGCTCCTAAGGGAGACCCGGATGCTCCAGACGTCCCGACCCCGCGCTCTTACGCTGAGGCGATCGCGGGTGAGTACTCCTCTTAGTGGCAGTCAGCCATGGACGCAGAGATGGCATCCTGGAAGTCCGCTGGCACTTACGTCGACAAAGTTCCCCCTCGTAGGGCGAATATCGTCAGTGGCATGTGGATTTTCAAGGTAAAGCGGCCGCCGGGTTCTCCGCCTGTCTTCAAGGCTCGTTACGTGGCTCGTGGCTTCAGTCACCTGTAGGGAGTTGACTACTTTCAGACCTTCTCTCCCACCCCGAAGATGACCACTCTTCGGGTACTACTGCACAAAGCTGCTCACCGTGACTACGAGCTTCACTCTCTTGACATCAGCACTGCTTTCTTGCAGGGCAGCCTGCACGAGGAGATCAGGCTGCGCCGCCCTCCTGGCTTCACTGGGTCGTTTCCTCCTGGTACCCAACGGAGCCTCCGGAGGCCGCTCTACGGTCTCTGCCAGGCGCCACGTGAGTGGCACGACACACTGAGGACTACTCTTGCGGCACTTGGGTTCGCGCCCTCTACAGCTGACCCGTTGCTGTTTCTGCGCACCGACACTTCGCTGCCGCCGTTCTACATCCTCGTGTATGTCGACGACTTGGTCTTTGCCACTGCTGACACTGCTAGACTCTCCCATGTGAAGTCGGAGCTGCAGAAGAGACACACGTGCACAGACCTGGGTGAGCTGCGCAGCTACCTTGGCTTGCAGATCACCCGGGACAGAGCACGCCGCACCATCACACTGACTCAGTCACACATGGTGCAGCAGGTCCTTTAGCGCTTCGGCTTCACCTGGTCCTCAACACAGGCCACTCCTCTGGCTATAGGTCACTCGCTCTCAGCTCTGCCTTCGGATGAGTCCGTAGAGCCGAGTGGTCCTTACCCAGAGCTAGTTGGTTGCCTCATGTACCTGATGACTTGAACTCGTCCTGACCTAGCATACCCTCTTGGCCTTCTGGCCCGCTATGTGGCTCCTGGCAGGCACCGAAAGGTGCACTGGGATGCTGCAAAGAGGGTATTGCGCTACTTCTGCAGTACATCGGCCATGGGGCTCGTGCTTGGAGGAGGGAGCTCAATTGTTCTCACTGGGCACTCTGACGCTTCTTGGGTTGACGACCAGGCTACTCAGGGGTCATCACAGGGTTACACCTTCAGCCTTGGCTCTGGTTCAATTTCTTGGCGTTCTACTCGCTCGTCTTCAGTTCTCAGCTCCAATTGTGAGGCAGAGATCTACGCCACAGCCATGGCTGTACAGGAGCTACGCTGGCTAACCTACCTGCTGACCGACTCCTCCAGTGCTGTACGTCGACAACAAGGCTGCCATTGCCTTGTGTGAGGAGCACAGACTGGAGCACAGAACGAAACACATCGCTCTCCGTTACTTCCTGGCTTGAGAGCTGCAGCAGCGCGGTCAGCTTCGTCTGCGTTACATGGCCACTCAGGCCAACACCGCTGATATATTCACCAAGGCACTTCAGCTTGGTGATCATCAGCGCTTCTGCACTATGCTGGGGCTGGTGCCCACTTTTCCTCACTTGCTATAGGCTTTGCCTGTACAGTGATCTCTCAAAATATATACCTGCTTGTTTGCTTTGCTAAGTTGAGATCACTGTGCTGTTTGTGTTTCATATATGCCTCTACATGTGAACTGGCCTTGTGGCCCTTTGCTTGTGCTCAGAGTGTGTGGTTGTGAGAATTGAAACAAGAATGAATGAACTATGAATAAATTGGGTACAAGTACTAACCCTGATTGGGATGTACCCCTTATGGGCTACCCCACTATAGCCTACACAATATGCATGAGCTATATTGTTCTAACACACCCCCATAGGCATAGTGGGGGAGAACAAGGGGTCACAAGACCAGTCAAGCAAAGCAAAGCAAAGCAAGCTCAGGGTGGATCACAAAGTCACCACACATTCCGAGCACAAGTTCAAGGCCACAAGGCTAGTTCACCTGCAGGAGTACATATATAAAAAAAAGGCTAGACAAGCAAGAGCAAGTATATATATATGTAACAGTACAAGCAAGGTCAAGAGGTGAGCGATTGAGGCAAGGTAGGCACAAGGCCCAGCTGAGTTTAGAAGCGCTGATGGTCACAAGGCGCAAGCGCCTTGGTGAAGATATCAGCAGTGTTGGCCTCAGAGGCCACGTACGCAAGACGCAACTGACAACGCTGCTGCAG